TTCCCCCTCTCTCCCCTACCACTCCCCCACTGATAACCCTCCATTTGATCTCCATTTCTGTGATTCTGTTCCTGTTCTAGTTTGCTTAGTTTGTTTTTGTTTTAGGTTCAGTTATTAATAACTGTGAGTTTGTTGTCATTTTACTGTTCATATTTTTTATCTTTGATAAGTCCCTTTAACATTTCATGTAATAAGGGCTTGGTGATGATGAACTCTTTTAACGTGACCTTTTCTGGGAAGCACTTTATCTGCCCTTCCACTCTAAATGATAGCTTTGCTGGATAGAATCATCTTGGATGTAGGTCCTTGACTTTCATGACTTGAAATACTTCTTTCTAGCCCCTTCTTGACGGTAAGGTTTCTTTTGAGAAATCAGCTAGTAGTCTAATTGGAACTCCTTTGAAGGTAGCTATCTCCTTTTCTCTTGCTGCTTTTAAGATTCTCTCCTCATCTTTAATCTTGGCTAGTGTAATTATGATGTGCCTTAGTGTGTTCCTCCTTGGGTCCAACTTCTTTGGGACTCTCTGGGCTTCCTGGACTTCCTGGAAGTCTATTTCCTTCACCAGACTGGGGAAGTTTTCCTTCATTATTTTTTCAAATAAGTTTTCAATTTCTTGCTCTTCTTCTCCTTCTGGTACCCCTATGATTTGGATGTTGGAATGTTTAAAGATGTCCTGGAGGTTCCTAAGCTTCTCCTCATTTTTTTGAATTCTTGTTTCTTCATTCTGTTCTAGTTGAATTTTTTTTCTTCCTTCTGCTCCAAACTGTTGGTTTGAGTCCCAGTTTCCTTCCTGTCACTGTTGGTTCCCTGTACATTTTTCTTTATTTCACTTTTCATAGCCTTCACTTTTTCTTCTGTTTTGCGACCATATTCAACCAATTCTGTGAGCATTCTGATTACCCGTGTTTTGAACCATGCATCTGACCAATAGGTTGGCTATTTCTTCGTCACTCAGTTGTATTTTTTTCTAGAGCTTTAATCTGTTCTTTCATTTGGGCCATTTTAATTTTTGTCTCAGCACATCTCTTACGTAGTAGGGGGCGGAGCCCTAGGTGTTCACCAGGGCAGGGCAAGCCACGTCACTGAGTTGTGGCAATGTATGCGGGAGAGAGGTCTGAGAGGGAACAGTGCCCCTCACTCCACTCTCTGCCAGTTTTCAGTCACTTCCCCCGCTACCCACAAGCAAAATGGGCCTTTCTGGTGCTGATTTCTGGGTGGGTGGGTTTGGTACATTGTAGGACTCTGTGGGTCTCTCAAACAGATTCTCCTGTGAAGCTGGAAGTTTCTCTGGCTGCCTCAATCCCCACAGGTGTTTTCAATCAGAGGTTTGAGGCTTTCTTTCCCTGTGCTGGGACCCTGGGAAATGGGTGCTCAGTCTGTCTCGTTCCCCAGTTGTTCCTCCCAGTTCATCTGCAGTCAAATGTGGGATGGCCAGGTCTGCCAGCCGCCACCTTGGTCTTCCAGCCACGGGCAAGGTGGCGGCTGGCCATGAGTCCTCTCCACCTAGCTGCCTGTTTCTGCCCCTCCTACCAGTCTGGGTGAATGTTTATTCTTTAACTCCATTGTTGTTGGACTTCCATACAGTTCGATTTTCTGTCAGTTCTGGTTGTTTTTTGTTTTTAAATTTGTTGTTGTTCTTCTTTTGGTTGTGCAAAGAGGCACGGTGTGTCTACCTATGCCTCCATCTTGGCCAGAAGTCCATATTTTTATTTAAAAATATTTTGAAAGATGATTGATCAAAGCAATAATATATTATGCATTTACAACATAGGTAGAAGATGTGTGGCAACCCATTAGTCTAAGCACAAAGTCTAAGAGGGAAAATGGAAGTATGTATACTTTTGTAAGTTTTTTTTTTTAAGATGTGTGGCAACACATTAGTATAAGCATAAAGTCTAAGAGAGGGAAAATGGAAGTATGTATACTTTTGTAAGTTTTTTTTTTAATCCTCACCTGAGGACATTTTTTTTTCATTGTTTTTAGAGAGGGAGGAAGGAGAGAGAATTGGGGGAGAACATCGATATGAGAGAGAAACATCAATTGGTTGCCTTTTGTATGCACCCCAATCGGGGATCAAACACATAACCTAGGTATGTGCCTTGACGAGGAATCAAACCTGCAGTCTTTTTGTGTATGGGATAATGCTTCAATCAACTGAGCCACCCCAGCCAAGGCTGTAAAATTTTTTATATTAAACATAAAGTGGTACATTTTTACTTGAAGATAGACTGTGATAAGTGAAAGATGTGTACTGGAAACCCTAAAGCTACACCTTTAAAAAGTAAGCAAAGAAGTATGTCTAATAAGCTAGTAATAAGGTTAAATTATGAAAATCTTAAATTGAATCATAAAAATTTCTGGCTAATCCAGAAGCGCAAAAAAAGGGGATGAGGGGAAAACAAAGAACATATGGAGAAAAGTAGAAAACAAACTGTAACTATGCTGTGGATGAAAAAGCGGCCACATACTAAATCTGACGAACTCAGGGAAGGCCTACATGGCAGGCCTTAAACAAACTTAGAGACTGAAAGTAACCACATAAGATGGTCTGAACATGAAAATTCCTAACTAAAAGCAAGTCACAGTGGGTAGTCATATCCTAGGCTTGTAGCTTTCTGGAGAAAGGTCAATCTTTACCTTAAGTAAGCCTGTCTACTGTCTTTTCACAAAGATAACATACCTTTGGAATGTCAGAGTAATATCTTTTTCCAGACCCTCAGAGCACAACCACAGCATCAGAGGATGAAACCACATAAGCACTCATTATCTTGTTTCCCATATACCACCTCTGTATGCTGTAAATGTTATTAACAATACTGTACACACCAATTAAAAGTATGTTTCTCCATTTTACTTTTTATCCAGTCTGAGAGTCCCTTCTCTCCCCTTTCTTTCTCCCAACCCCTTAATCTACCACCAACAGATTTCATGTAACCCACCCTCCTTATGTCTCCTCCTTGTATTCTAATGGATAAGCTGCAAAAATGCCATTCTCTGGAGCATTTTCGCATCTGTTGAGATTTTGCTTCTGGCAATTGTCAGTTTGGCCCAAATAAACTCACAAAAATTCTCCATAGGTTTGGACGTTTCTTATATTGATACCATGTAATAATAATCACTTTAATAAAAATATTCTAATCACCCAAATTAAAAGGAAGCAATAAGAAAGCAGGACCCAACTATATGTTATCACCAAGAGATCCACTTTGAATATAAAGACACAAATAGATTAAAATAGGTTAAAAGGACAGAAACAGATATATTATGCTAACAATCAAAGCTGGTTATGTTAATATCAGATAAAGTAGATAAAAGAAATAAAAAAATAAAAAGGATCATTTCTCCCATCCCAGAGAAAGAATGTTTTATATAAGAGTTTGGAGAATGTTTCAGGAGTTATTTAGGAATCTGGACGAATCCGTAGTACCATTATTGCCTTTCCTTATTAATCACGTTTAAGAGGTCATGAAGTCAAAGTAATAGCATTGCAGTCCTGATTTTACTTGAGAATAAACTTATGATAGAGAGGTACTATTGATATGGAATAAATACGAAGATTTTACACAGAAGGAAAAAGAGGGTCATTTCTTTTCTTTTTTTTTTTTTAAGATTTCATCTATTTTTAGACAGAGGAGAAGGGAGAGAGAAAGAAAGGGAGAGAAACATCAATATGTGGTTGCCTCTCACTTGCCCCCAACCAGGGACCTGGCAGGCAACCGGAGCATGTGCCCTGTCTAGGAATCAAACCAGTGACCCCTTGATTTTCAGGTGGGTACTCGATCCACTGAGCCACACAAGCCAGGCCTAGAGAGGGTCATTTCTTAATGGTATAGGGGTCAATGCAAGAGGACATAAAAAACCCTAAGTATTTCAACATACATGAAACAAAAATTGATGGAATTAAAAAGGAGAAAGACAAATTCTCAACTGTAGTTGAAGATTTAAACGTCCTTCTGTAGACAATGAAAGATTTCTTAGGCTGCTATAAGACTAGTTTGGAATGGGCAGGAGTAAGTGGGTGCACAGATTGAATGTGATTAGAATTTTAAAAAGAGAGTATGGCATATGATTTTGATTCCTATACCCAGAGGTTCCACGGTATCATTTTGGTCCTATAATGAGACACTGTTTGCATACAGACTTTCATCTTCTGCCAAATTACTCTGAGTCAAATATACTCACACTGAACACCTCAAATGAAAAAAGAATTGATATCCTAGGGGTAGCGGTTTTCAAACTTGAGTATCAGAATTACCTGGAGGGCTTGTTAAAATACAGATTTCTGGGCCCTAGCCCAGAGTTTCTGATTCAGTAGCTCTAGGATAGGGCGCGAAAATTTGTATTTTTAACATATTCCTGGGTGATGCTAACCGGCTGGTGCCGAGACCAGACCTTGGGAAACAGTGGCCCAGAATTTTGCCATTCTTTTCCTCCACTGATTTCGAGGTAATCAGTCAGTTTCCAAATGACACTCAAAGCCAAACAAACGGGTTGGTTCAAAATAATGTTTGAATCCACTCAAAAAATACTCTGCCACTAGGTGGGTTCCAGGACGCCCGAAGCCGCGCGAGAGTTTACGTGGTGACGTCAGCGCCTGCGTCTGCATTACGTCGTCGTCGGCCACGTTCAGCGGAGACCGGAGCAAGATGGCGATTCCGGGCAGGCAGTGAGTGATCCGGGAGTTAGGGTTAGGCTGGGGAGTGAGAGACTACGGCGACTGTGTCTTTGGCCGAGAAGTAGAAGCGTGCTGGAAGTGAAGGGGCTGTATCATCAGGGATAGAGACGGGGAAAGGCGAGAAATACTGAGGAACAAACACTTCCCCTCCCCACCCCGTATATTTTCCAGGATGGAAGCCCGAAGTTTGAGGGAGAAACTTGTGAGGAAATAAAGGAAGTTAGGCTGAGGGGCAGAGAGCGAGACTTTTCTATTTTCCAAAAGCTCGGTCTGAGGCCCCTCAGTCTTGCTTCCTACCCCGCGCTTGAGTTTCTCCCGGTTTGGATGCCTTCAGGGGCAATGAGAAGAGACAATCCCTGGCTTCCTTAGAGGGCCTTGTTCTCCTTGGCAGCTCAAGTCTTGATTCCCGCCCTCCCTTCCCGTTTTAGGAATGTTGTGCTGAGAAGCCACAAAAAAGGGTAGGCATATAGGGAGTTGGTTTACGTTGCTGCAAGAGAAAAATATTGTATGTGCTTGGAATTTTTACTTTTGATGTACAGTCCGTACTTCTTGATGTGGCTTCCTGCGATTGCTGCATCTTAAAGGCCAAAATGTCAGAAACTAATTGAGTTGGCTCAGATGGGATGGTTCTCTCAGAGGTTCCAAGACAAAGCAAGTGATCTTACTAAAGTAATGGGAATTTAACCTATAGATACTTGGGTCTTTCAGTTAATCTTTTAAAAAACTTTGTGAGTGATGTTACCTAATAACTTCTTTAAAACTGTGTATAAATACACAGTAGGGGGAGGGAATCTTTTTTTTTAAACTCTTGCTAAGCGACAAGGATAATTCAGAGCGTTTTTATTTTTAGTGAACATGAACTGAGCTTTCAACTAACGTGTTCTTTTTAAAACCTTATTATCATTTTACTATTTAAAACATTTTTCAAGCTCGTCAGTTACTTCTTTGATTAAAATGATAATTGGGCTTGGCCCTTGTCTACAAATAACCACTTAATTATAACATCTTAACACATTATAATTTTGAGATGTTTGAAGATCAAAAACTTCCGTGTTCATAGGCCATGACATGTTTTGACTTGGTAGCTTCATCTGGAAGATGTAGTGAATGTGTTATGTTTTAACATTTAAATATAATGGTGTAATTTCTATTTCAAAAAATAATATGCAGGTATGGGCTTATTTTGCCAAAGAAAACACAGCACTTGCACCCTGTTTTGCAAAAACCATCAGTGTTTGGGAATGATTCTGATGATGATGAGGTAAGGGAACCTATGTTTTCCTACCAAATTGGAAATATATGTATATTTTTAATTTGAACTTGTGATTTTGATATCTTTGCTTGTCTTAGTTATTTGTCAATACAGTGTATATGAAGTATATTATAATTTACAGAATTATCAAAAGGAATAAAGGAAGAAGCACGGATTTTCTTTATGAGATACATATATAATCTGATTTTTCTTTCCAAAAGCTATGAACTTCAGTTATTTTTAGGCAGTACCACAAAGTTATTTCAGACAACTGATGCTGATGTAACAAAATTGTTGGTGTAAAGTGCCCTAAAAATGAGCTGTTGAGATGTCACCAATTTCCTAGAAATATTTATTAGTAGTTTCTTATGAGACTACTTTTGTGGTTATTCAGTCTCTGCTAAATGTAATTGCTCAGTTATAGTTATCACAGTAAGTAGTGTTGCCATAGATGTTACTACAATAACATCTAGTATGAATATTTTATATTTTAGTGGCCAGAACAATGTTTTCCTCTGAAACACATAGTTTATAGTAGAAACACCACCAAATGTGTGCTTATCTCATACAGTACTTAAATCATTTTCTATATTTCTAAAAGACTTTTGTGTCTGTTGATCTGGTACTTCTTTGTTCTGGCAGAAAAAACAGCTTCTCTTTCAGTTTTTACTAATTATCAATATATAATAGCAGAGACAGGCAATTGGATATATTTGATACTCTATTTTTTGCTCTCTTAAAGAAATTGACTGTAGATGGTTCACCTTTTAAAAAATTGAGGTATAATTTACTTATAATAAAATGTGTGGGTTTTAAGTGTATATAGGTTGATGACTTTGGACAAACGTATATGCCCCAGTCAAGATGTAGAACATTGCCCCCTCTCCTGAAAGTTCTTTCATGCCGCTTTGCAGTTAGTCTACTGCCCCCACATTCTTCCCCCACTATTTTGTGATTTTGATTTACATTTCTCTGATGGCCAATGATGTTGGCCATTATGTGTGTCATCTTTGGAGAAATGTGTCTTTTTTATCATTTGCCTATTTTTTTATTGAGTTATTTGTCATTTTGTTATGAATTGTAAGATTTCTTTGCACATTCTAGACACAGGTCCCTTATTAGATATGATTTGTAAATATTTTCTCCCATTCTGTGGGTTATCTTCACTTTCTTGATAATGTCCGTTGAAACACAAAAGTTCAATTTTGAGGAAGTCCAATTTATTTTTTTCTTAGGTTGCTAACTGCTTTGATCTCATACCTAAGAAACCATTACTTAATCAAGGTCATGAAGATTTATACCTATGTTTTTGTCTAAGAATTTTGTAGTTTTACTTCTTAAATTTAGGTCTGTGATCCATTTTGAGTTAATTTTTGTATACCGTATGAGGTAGGGGTCCATTTTCATTCTTTGCCTGTGGACACTTTAGTTGCCCCAACATAGTTTGTTGAAGACTCTTCCCTATTGAATTGACAGTACCCTTAATGGTTTGTTAATATACAGTAAAATTTAAAATCACTTACCATGGACATAAAGGAAAAATAAAACATGCTCATCCTGTAGTTTTACGTAAATCAACCTAGAATACCATGTACTATGAAGCAGCTTATACCCCAGTTTGAGAAGATGGGGTTTACATAAGTAACCCAGAAAGTTTCCTTATTGTATTGCTGTTTCTTTTCCATTATGAAATGAGACTGGTGGTGCCTGGAGAGTGAGCACACTAGAGTCAGAAAAGATAGGGCTAGGCCATTTTGCTGTGTTCCCTCCCTTCCTCCATCCCTCCCTGCTCCTCTTACATAGAGGGACTTCAACTCAGAGATTGGTTACATAAGTGATAGAAGATGTGAGAAGCCAAAACAAGAGTGGTGAAGCAACCCAGAGATTAGCAGTAATAAGATGAAAGTAGTGTTAAATTGAAAGAAGCAGGTAGGAGATGGGTCCTGGAGGCCAGGGGCTCAGGTTACGAGGTGGGAATTGGACTTCACTGGAGAAATTCAGTCTTAGGCTGAGAGAAGCGGAGGGAGAAAAACTTTGTCTTATCCCTTTCTCCTACTCTCCAGTATACAGTCTTTGTCTTTCATTGGTAGAGCCTCACCAGAAACCACTGACCAGGGAGATGCAGCTTAGTTCTTAATGAAAAGAATATAAAACTGTCTAGCATAATTGCCTTATCTATAAAAATTCAGTCTGGTGAATTCCAACTTACCCTCATACTACTAAGTAAATTCTTAGTTGAGTATGTTATTTAAATACTTGAGATGTTTAAATAGAAAATCTTATTTAAAAATTAATCAACAGTTTAAGCAACAATAAAATTATTGGTGCTTTGGAAAATGCAGAGAAAGATATTTTCATTTATATATATTGTTATGTTTATGGATTTCCTCCAGAGGAGGACATTTGCTATGGAAAGAACTGCTATAAAACAGATCCATCTATTGTCTTCAACTATTCAGCACAGGCAGTTAAGAGTCCAAATTTAAAATAAGACTTCCCTTCCAATGACCCATCAGAGATTGTCCTACCAAATGAATCCTGTTTGAATATGTGCTTTAATCCAGAGTTAGTTTGCAAATGGGGCAGTGATAGTCTAGAATCTTAACTTACTATTTCAGTAGTTCCTTTTTTAAAAATGTTCAGAACTAATTAGAAGTAATCATTATTTTGTTCATAGGTGGGGAGATGAAGAGTTTTTATCCCGTGTGTTTAACAGGTTTATAGTAGATCCAGATGCTGCTGTCTGATCATAAGTGTTTGAATGGTTTTACTATGATAGTAATTTTTTCCAGTCCCATTGCCACCACCTTTATTACTTCCCTTTGGATTATAATAGCTTGGTAACTAGTTTCCTCATCACCTGTCTCTCCAAATTTAGTTTGAATCACTGTTATTCTCTTGTTCTTAAACCTAATTGTATTTAAAATTTAAACTGCTAAGCCTGACACTGAAAGCCCTCCTTTTGCTTTGCTTCAAAATGCTTATTAGCATTTTCTCGTAACTGCGCTTCTCCCACGCAAAGCTCACTGTTATGTTTGTATTTTTTCGTAAGTCTGCTTTTCTCCACTCTGGAAGTCTTCCCATTTTATATGTCAAAATTATAGCCACGCTTTAAAATCTAGTGCAAAAGCTTCGGCTTTCAAGATTTCCCCCACTGGAAACAATCTCCTCCCTTTTGTGACACTCTTTACCTTTCTTAGAACACTTATCTTTTTATACCTTATATTATATTTATATACAATTTTTGTCACTACATTAGAGTATGAGCTCCTTGAGTCAGGATCTGGGTATCTTTTGGCTTCCAAAAGTAAGTAAAATTATTTACTCAGATGTTTTAGCTATCTGTATTGCAAAGAGTCAGGTAATAGATGTTTTAGGCTTTGCAAGCCAATCTCTCATAGTGTGAAAGCAGTCATTAGACAATACGTGAATTAATGACCATGACTAATAAACATGTTCTAATAAAACTTTATTTAGAAAAGGATAGGTGGCTGGATTTGGCTGTTACTTGACTGACCCCTGATCTATACATTCTCAAAAGTACTGGTTATAGCCAGTATTACCTGTAATAGCCTATATTACACACAGCAAGTAGTAGAGGTAGATTTTGAACCCAGAACATCTGCCTAATTTCAGAGTCCATGCTTTTAAACATTATAATGTACTCCCTCTGAGAGGCAGTTTGTTTATAATGGAATTTTAAAAGTTTGAGAGATTGGATTTCAGAAGCAACAGCAAAAGGGTTAGTTGGGGAACTAGCAAAGATTAAACTTCAGAGACATGGTTTTTATCATTTGAAAGTACTGTGTCTTTTGTATCATGTCATCCAGTGTCTTAGGAATATTTCAGGGAGATGGGGCTATTAATTTTCAACAAAGTGGATCTTCTATTGTCCAATTTTTGAACAATCTCATCCTAAGGGTTTTCAGTGGGGGGTGTTAATACTTCCAGAGGACCATTAAGAAATGTGTGGGATGGCTTTTGGTTATTAACAATTACTGAGAATGAGTATTAATACCAGTTTTGGATGTGGGCCAGGCATGGTAGATATTCTACTACTTATGACCCCCATCTAGGTAAAATTCTTCTGAACCTGTATGTAGATTAAAAGCTATTTATAATTTTATGAGCCTAGGATGTAAGTTCTTTTTACACGTAAACTCAAAATATGCTTTGCACATTTTATTAAAAGTATTTTTAATAAAATACAATTTAAAATACTTTTTAAAATTCTGTTTTTGCATGGCAAAATGCAGGCTAAATATTCCCCTAATTTGACTATTTTGTAGATTGAGGGAAGGTATATCTCATGTTGTTTAGAACTTTACCAAGGGTTTACCATCTAAGAAAATTAGGTCACTGTTACTAGTGTCATTGTGGTATTTGAGTCACCATTTCTGCAGTCAGCATTTGTGTCTTTAGCATTAATGGTGATTACAGTGATTCTGCAATACATGGTTGAAGAATTTGAGAACTCACTGTTTTTTAATGTGGTTGTGCTCTTACATATTCAAATATAGTGTATATTATTCTATTATAAATTACTTTCCTTTTACTTTCTGAGGGTTTTGTAAGGATGTGTATCCAAAAGTGGATTAGACGGAAGGTGCGCGCATATGTATGTATAAAACTTAAAATTGTGTGTAGAAAATTTATATTATATATGCATTTCATTTCAGTATAGATAAGGGGCATTAACAAATAATTTTCCATAAAAGAGGGATATTGAATATGATGGAGAACTATCATTTAGTGTCTGCCTCCAGTATGATGGCTCACATACTATATATTACATTGCCATAAATGTGCAGGTCTGTTTCTCTGGAATTTTGTTCTATCATTGATTTCTTCCTCTAATCTTGTATTCACTATTTCCAACTAAGGGCAGAAATAAAGTCTGTTATTTATCTTTTTCCAAAAAGGCAATATGTAAGGATCCACTTGCATTTCTGTTTCTCATGCAAAAACCAATGTATCTTCTCTGTCTTCTGTACTTTGTATCCCTTACC